AATTTTACATTGCCGTTTTATGATATATTTAAAGGCTTTGTAGTTTTGGTAGGCGAGCAGTCAAAGAGAAGGACAGCTCTGAATTAAAAAAACGATTGGGCGTTTTGGCTAGTAACTCCACCCCTTAAAAATCTACTGCCACAGAAATCAAAGCAGTAAAACTTAGAATGGTGAGGTGTGGTCCTAGCATGGTGAAGCTGGGGCCCTCTACTAGGAATCTGCAGGGTTTGACATAACAGCACGCTTACATAAGCCTTATGGAATAAAATGAATTAACAGTAACATAGACTACAGGCTTATTTGAATGTGTGTAGCGTAGCGGTTATCAGCGTTGGCTTAAAAATTCCGGCCGAGAGCTTTGCGTTTGCTTTGCTTTTGCTTTGCGTTCGCTTTGCGTTCGCTTTGCGTTTGCTTTGCTATCGCTTTGCGTTTGCTTTGCTTTCGCTTTGCGTTTGCTTTGCTTTCGCTTTGCGTTTGCTTTGCTTTCGCTTTGCGTTCGCTTTGCGTTCGCTTTGCGTTTGCTTTGCTATCGCTTTGCGTTTGCTTTGCTTTCGCTTTGCGTTTGCTTTGCTTTCGCTTTGCGTTCGCTTTGCTTTCGCTTTGCGTTTGCTTTGCTATCGCTTTGCGTTTGCTTTGCTTTCGCTTTGCGTTTGCTTTGCTTTTGCTTTGCTATCGCTTTGCGTTTGCTTTGCTTTCGCTTTGCGTTTGCTTTGCTTTCGCTTTGCGTTCGCTTTGCTTTCGCTTTGCGTTTGCTTTGCTATCGCTTTGCGTTTGCTGCTTTCGCTTTGCGTTTGCTTTGCTTTCGCTTTGCGTTTCTTTGCTTTCGCTTTGCGTTTGCTACTTTCGCTTTGCTTTCGCTTTGCGTTTTTGCTTTGCTTTCGCTTTGCGTTTGCTTTACTTTCGCTTTGCGTTTGCTTTACTTTCTTTTTGCGTTCGCTTTGCTTTCGGTTTGCGTTTGCTTTGCTTTCGCTTTGCTTTTCCTTTGCGTTCGCTTTGCTTTCGCTTTGCTATCGCTTTGCGTTTGCTTTGCTATCGCTTTGCGTTTGCTTTGCTTTCGCTTTGCGTTCGCTTTGCTTTCGCTTTGCGTTTGCTTTGCTATCGCTTTGCGTTTGCTTTGCTTTCGCTTTGCGTTTGCTTTGCTTTCGCTTTGCGTTTGCTTTGCTTTCGCTTTGCGTTTGCTTTGCTTTCGCTTTGCTTTCGCTTTGCGTTTGCTTTGCTTTCGCTTTGCGTTTGCTTTGCTTTCGCTTTGCGTTTGCTTGCTTTCGCTTTGCGTTTGCTTTGCTTTCGCTTTGCGTTCTTTGCTTTCGCTTTGCGTTTGCTTTGCTAACGCTTTGCGTTCTTCTTTCGCTTTGCGTTTGCTTTTTTTCCTTTGCTTTCGCTTTGCGTTTGCTTTGCTATCGCTTTGCGTTTGCTTTGTTTTCGCTTTGCTTTCGCTTTGCGTTTGCTGCTATCGCTTTGCGTTTGCTTTGCTTTCGCTTTGCGTTTGCTTTGCTATCGCTTTGCGTTTGCTTTGCTTTCGCTTTGCGTTTGCTTTGCGTTTGCTTTGCTATCGCTTTGCGTTTGCTTTGCTATCGCTTTGCGTTTGCTTTGCTTTCGCATTGCGTTTGCTTTGCGTTTGCTTTGCTATCGCTTTGCGTTTGCTTTGCTATCGCTTTGCGTTTGCTTTGCTTTCGCTTTGCGTTTGCTTTGCTATCGCTTTGCGTTTGCTTTGTTTTCGCTTTGCTTTCGCTTTGCGTTTGCTTTGCTATCGCTTTGCGTTTGCTTTGCTTTCGCTTTGCGTTTGCTTTGCTATCGCTTTGCGTTTGCTTTCGCTTTGCGTTTGCTTTGCTATCGCTTTGCATTTGCTTTGCTTTCGCTTTGCGTTTGCTTTGCTATCGCTTTGCGTTTGCTTTGCTTTCGCTTTGCGTTTGCTTTGCGTTTGCTTTGCTATCGCTTTGCGTTTGCTTTCGCTTTGCGTTTGCTTTGCGTTTGCTTTGCGTTTGCTTTGCTATCGCTTTGCGTTTGCTTTACTATCGCTTTGCGTTTGCTTTGCTTTCGCTTTGCGTTTGCTTTGCTTCCGCTTTGCGTTGCTTTGCTTTCGCTTTGCGTTTGCTTTACCTTTCGCTTTGCGTTTGCTTTGCTATATCTTTGCGTTTGCTTTGCTTTGCGTTTGCTTTGCTATCGCTTTGCGCTTTGCTTTCGCTTTGCGTTTGCTTTGCTTTCGCTTTGCGTTTTGCTTTTGCTTATCGCTTTGCGTTTGCTTTGCTTTCGCTTTGCGTTTGCTTTGCTATCGCTTTGCGTTTGCTTCCTTTCGCTTTGCGTTTGCTTGCTTTCGCTTTGCGTTGCTTTATCGCTTTGCGTTGCTGCTATCGTTTTGCTATCGCTTTGCGTTTTGCTGCTTTCGCTTTGCGTTTGCTTTGCTATCTTTGCTTTCGCATTGCGTTTGCTTTGCTATCGCTTTGCGTTTGCTTTGCTATCGCTTTGCGTTTGCTTTACTTTCGCTTTGCGTTCGCTTTGCTATCGCTTTGCTATCTTTGCTATCGCTTTGCGTTTGCTTTGCTTTCGCTTTGCGTTTGCTTTGCTTTCGCTTTGCTATCGCTTTGCGTTTGCTTTGCTATCGCTTTGCGTTTGCTTTGCTATCGCTTTGCGTTTACTTTGCTATCGCTTTGCGTTTGCTTTGCTTTCGCTTTGCGTTTGCTTTACTATCGCTTTGCGTTTGCTTTGCTATCGCTTTGCGTTTGCTTTGCTTTCGCTTTGCGTTTGCTTTGCTTTCGCTTTGCTATCGCTTTGCGTTTGCTTTACTATCGCTTTGCGTTAGCTTTGCTTTCGCTTTGCGTTTGCTTTGCTTTCGCTTTGCGTTTGCTTTGCTTTCGCTTTGCGTTTGCTTTGCTATCGCTTTGCGTTTGCTTTGCTTTCGCTTTGCGTTTGCTTTGCTTTCGCTTTGCGTTTGCTTTGCTATAGCTTTGCGTTTGCTTTGCTTTCGCTTTGCGTTTGCTTTCGCTTTGCGTTTGCTTTGCTTTCACTTTGCGTTTGCTTTGCTTTCGCTTTGCGTTTGCTTTGCGTTTGCTTTGCTATCGCTTTGCGTTTGCTTTGCTTTCGCTTTGCGTTTGCTTTGCTATAGCTTTGCGTTTGCTTTGCTATAGCTTTGCGTTTGCTTTGCTTTCGCTTTGCGTTTGCTTTGCTTTCGCTTTGCGTTTGCTTTGCTTTCGCTTTGCGTTTGCTTTACTATCGCTTTGCGTTTGCTTTGCTTTCGCTTTGCGTTCGCTTTGGTATCGCTTAGCGTTTGCCTTGCCTTTGCTTTGCGTTTGCTTTGCTTTCGCTTTGAGTTCGCTTTCGATTTCGCACAAATATCCTCGAAAACGTATGAATTCCTTTTTGAAAAAAAAAAACAACCTCTTTATCTTTTCAGTATCTTCTGCTACGTGCCATGACTTTCCAATACATAGCCGATCATGGCTCTCCACAACTTCAAAGTCATTTGTCACTCTGGGTAACTTTTAACCTACTCTTCTTTGTCCTTGTTTCTCGCTCTTTCTCCTTGTTTCACTTGTCTTTAGTACGTCCTGCGAGTGTTAAATTCGCCAGGCCTGCTTTCCTCATTATGTGTCCCGGAGATTTAAACGACTTGGCTTTATTAATAGCTCTTCTGGACATTTTCCATCGAAATACCGAAAAGATAAGCGAAAGGCTAACAAAATTTTGTCCGTGGGAAAATGGCTGTAGGGTTGTAAATAATTAATATTAATGACTCGCCCACAAGACCGCGTAGGTGCCTGTGAATTTTTAACAAGCCTGGATGTTTAGTATTGGGCAGCTACACCCCAGATATGACAGCAATATTCCATTTTTGTTCTGATTTTTCTCTTGTCAAGATAGAACATAGCAAGTACTTTCTGGAACAATACAAAGAACTGATAATTTTTTCCAGAATTCAGACCAACGTTTCTCGACCTTTCTACCTTGGTGGAACTCTTGAAATAATTTTCATGTCTCAGAGAACCCCTGTATAAAAATCATTAAAGCGATCACTATATTAAATTTAAAGTCAAAATTTTATAATTAATTTCAATAAAACATTAGGTTACAGAGAATATTTTTCTAAATTTTAAAGATTATTGAATAGTTAAGAATTATTGAAAAAAGTCACTCACGTCATTTTCTTCAATTATGTTTTACAGAGAGTCTCCGTAGAACAACATTAGCTGTCATCAGGCTGTCAAACATGTCGGCACAGCTACTGTTAAAAAATGCATTTCTGAGATATTTTGAACTTAAGTTAAATAATCTATGTTTCAATTCAGATTAATTATAATTTAAGTCAGCTAATATTCCTCAAATAAAGTTTCAGAAAAGTATATTTTATTTTTCGAGGATTTTTTTAATAAATAGAATTACATTGCAATGAAAGCCGACTAAAAGGGCGCTAATCAACTATTTTAGCAAAAAAGAAAAAGCCTTCTTCCAGTCAAATTAAATTAGTTTTAAATTAGTTTTTTTGAAATACAGCAAAATATTTTGCTTATTGGAAATATTAATTTTAATCTATTACCTTGAAATTAAAACTAAAATAAAAGCTTAAAGAATGCTTTATCATTTTAAAAATTTCATTTTATCTATAGGTATCGTTTTTTTTATTTTTTTTTTGTGGAGGTACCTATATCACTATCTTTTATATTAATATTTATCTCGTTTATATTTTATTGTAATTCACGTGTTAAACATAATAGATGGACACTCTTCTTATACGCCATGATACACGAATCTGTCACGTACAGGATCTAACCAGTGAGACCGGTTTAACACTGACGTCATGTAGAAATCGCCAAAAATTTCCTATGATATTATAATTTTAAATAATATAAGATATTGAAGATTTTGTTATAATAACCACGGATTTTCAGACAATATGCCGTCTGTGTATAGTAAAATTACGAATATGTAATCAAAGAGAAAATACTCAAAAATGAATTCAACTATTTAGGAATGTTTTTTGTGGAACGACTAGCGACCACTTGTGGAACCCTTGGTAGGTAGATATAGATAATAAACAGGCTGAGATAGATAGATAGATAGATAGATAGATAGATAGATAGATAATGAAGAAACCGAGATAGATAGATAGATAGATAGATAGATAGATAGTAAACATGGTTACATAGATAGATACAAATATATTCATCCTGATAAAAGATTCCTCCTCTCTCTCTCTCTCTCTCTCTCTCTCTCTCTCTCTCTCTATATATATATATATATATATATATATATATATATATATATATATATATATATCGGAACCATATCATGTAGATAGATCGATAATAAGCATGTTTGGAGAGATAGATAGTAAACATGGTTACATAGATAGATACAAATATATTCATCCTGATTTCTCCTCTCTCTCTCTCTCTCTCTCTCTCTCTCTCTATATATATATATATATATATATATATATATTTATATATATATCGGAACCATATCATGTAGATAGATCGATAATAAACATGATTGGATAGATAGATAGATAGATAGATAGATAGATAGATAGATAGATAAATTGACTAGACAGATATATACATTCGGTCAAAAAACATAGACAGATAGATAGTTAACCTGTTTATATATATATATATATATATATATATATATATATATATATAGATAGATAGATAGATAGATAATGAACAGGCGTGATCCTGTTCATGAAAATACGGTAATTCCATAATGTCATCAGTCATTTTTATAAATGACATTACTGCCGGAATGTCGAGATTGTGGCTATTACTTCCTCCTCTCATATGCCTCAGCGTGTTATAAATTGTGTATGTACACAGAGCGTATAAACACAGAGTAACGTGAACAGTGTATGGGGTTTGTTACTATTTAAGTGTCATGGTGGGTCCTAGCCGTGGAGGTTAGACCTGGTGGAACCAAAGAAAGTAGTTCGTCTGAGCACTGTCCTTTAATACCATTGATCCTGACCTGGCATCTGGTCTCTTCCGCCGACGTGATGTGGCTTTCCTATGACTTTTCTACAAATATTTTCATGGCATTTGCTCCGAGGAACTTTTTTCTCCCCTGTGCTCATCAGACAAACTACCATGAAAATATATACAGTAGAAGTCGGGAGGAGACCACGTTACGGCAAGTGAGAGCAGAGATGCCAGATTAAGACTGATAACTTTGCAGATTCTTCTTTCTTCTTTCTGTAACACACATAAAACGTCTTGATTACATGCCACATCGTTGGCATACCACATTGCTGAAATTGGCAAAAAAAAAAAAAAAAAGCTTATCTACATGATTTTATATCGTTACGGCGGTGAGAGCAGAGATGCCAGATTAAGACTGATAAATTTGCAGATTCTTCTTTCTGTATTACACATAAAACGTCTTGATTGACATACCACATCGTTGACATACCACATTGCTAAAATTGACAAAAAACAAAAAACAAAAGAAAGCTTATCTACATGATTTTATATCGTTACGGCGGTGAGAGCAGAGATGCCAGATTAAGACTGATAAATTTGCAGATTCTTCTTTCTGTACCACACATAAAACGTCTTGATTGACATACCACATTGTTGACATACCACATTGCTGAAATTGGCAAAAAACAACAAAAAAAAGCTTATCTAGATTTTATATCGTTACGATGGTGAGAGCAGAGATGCCAGATTAAGACTGATAAATTTGCAGATTCTTCTTTCTGTACCACACATAAAACGTCTTGATTGGCATACCACATCGTTGACATACTACATTGCTGAAATTGTCAAAAAAAAAAAATAAATAAGCTTTCTTGTCCGCTACAACCGTCGACAAATTTGCCGACATTTAACACACTTCTGTTTTTTAAATGACAAAACAGGATGCACACATATAACTTAGTTACGCAAAGCTAAATAACATATACAATCATATCTTTTTTGTTGGTGTTTACCTAGCGTAGCGGCAATGGGAGCTTAAAGTAGGCTTGGCGGGCAAATTTCAAATTTCGGCAGATTTCTGCGTTCATTTTCTCACAGATGCCCTTTCAGCTTGAGACGTAATCATCCTGGTGTACTGTTTCTTCTTCCTCAATTAAATATACTATAATTAAAGATCAACAGACATTACTGTTTGGCCGACTGCCGTATCAAGTGACAAGGAAACAGACTATGTGGAGAGATATGTGTTAAAACCTAAATCTTTTGTGTTCATTTTAACGCACCTTTTGTGCTTCTACTATTAAATCTATTGTAATTGAAAAAAAGAGACAGACATTATTTGCTCCACATTGCGATATTTTTTTTTAATCAGTATCACCCCATGCAAGGCACTAAAGCCACTAAGACACAAGGGGGGTTACATGGTATGGAAGAATTAAGAACAGAAACATTAATAATGAGCAGGAAGAGAAAAGTGTAATCAGGAGGACAGTAGATAGCGATTGATATTGCATTCAATTTTTTTGCAGATTAAAGTTGGCTGGAACGCATGGAGCCGGAAGTGAATTCCACAAGCGAGAAGTGCGAGAAAATAAACTTAGGATAGAACGTACATCTAGCCAGCTATACTATAAATTGATAAAATATTGACGGTAATGGATTAATGCCCTTGAATTTAAAAAAAAAGGCTGGGTTCCATAATGAAGAGGTCATCCAAACAATTACCATGAAAGCATTTATTGAAAAGACACAGAGAGGCACCCTTAAGGCGGTGGGAAAGTGACTGAAGCCGATTCGCTAGGTCAGGTTCAATAATATTGTTGATTCTTCCGGGGAAGAAGCTGAGTGGAACTTGCTCCTTATCAATGGGATAAGAAGGGAATGATGATGATCCACTCAGTGTCTGTGAAGGCCTGGACTTGGTGGAGCAAGGGAATACAGTTCGCCTGAACATCTGCCTTGAGAACAGCGATATAAGAGAAAATGGCTATTGTAAGAAAAAATGGCTAGAGAAAAGTGATTGGAAGGTAAAAAAAACCCGCAAGGCTTCACGAAAGCCTTTTAAATCTATCGTGATTGGAATGTGAGTATTGGGCAACCCCAGCTGAGACGTAGCAGCAATACTCCATTTTTAGTATGATCTAGCTCTTGTAGGGATAGAACACAACAGGAGGAATCAGGTACTTTTTGAAGCGGTACAAGGAACTGCTCATTCTTCCAGCTTCTTTAGAGATGGATCGTACATACGAGTGCACGGTGGAAATTTATAAAATATCATTTAATAATATCATTTATGGCTTACCATAGTTAGAAATTGTGAACGTCTATACACTAATTTTTTTTTAAATATTTTAAAAAAATATTTGTGTACAAACGACTATTATGAGCTTTTTAATTTTTGATTCCTTAATGTACTTTTCACTTAACAATATCATCAAACACTTGCCTTGAAGCAATGCAGAATTTTAAACAATTTTTTAATATTATAAATTATTTAATTAATTTTTAAAAAAATAAAAATTCTTGTAAAAATTAATTATTTATCGAAAAAAATTCTTAAGTCAACAGTGTCGTTAATAAGTTTTATTTATCAAAGCAATTAAAATTTTTCTAATTAAATAATCTCTTAGTTTTATTGCATTTGTAATTTTACAATTCAGAGCAGATTTTCGGTGAAAGGGGTAACTGTTTTACAAAAAGAAATTGACGATTTACATTCTCCAAGGAGTCTTGCTTCTAAATAATTAAAAAAAAATCCCCACCCAAAAAACTGGATTTCTTGAAATAATAAGTAAGTGGGTGGTAAAAAATATATATATTTTTTACCAAGATTTTCTAAAAAAAGAATTAAAAAATAATTTAATTCACTTCTGAATATGTACTGAAAGTTTCATTTCATTCTACCAATTATTCTATTTTTGTAAGAATCTCGAAGTTTTTCACCGGAAACCAAAATTTCGAACGTGCTAGAAATCTTTAAAAAATTCCAAAAAAGATAAAGAAATATTTTGGTCTGTCCTCTTAGTAATAACATAAACATTTTGATGATAAAACTTTATTTTTATTGAGTTTGGGGCTTTTTTTCATTGTGTTATCTTTTCTGTGAAAAAGCGGAGGTACCTAAATTGAGAGTACAACAGTTCGTCATGACTGGAAAAAAAAAACTTGGGGTCTGCTCAGTGGTGATGAAAGGTAATGGCCACGAATTAACCCCTTTACTCTATATTCTGGCTATTTAAATATAAAGGTGAGGAAGAAAAGCCCCATTAATATTGGAAAGAGCGCTAACTACTGCATAGTGAGAAGTCTGTTTTCTTGGAAAATTGTTTTCAGAGAAAGATTTTATAATTTTCAACCGAAAGCAGGTCAATGAATACCAGATGTTTTCTTATAGAGAAATGGCTAATCTTACTCATTACCATTACTCTTTACCATTACCCTTTACATTGCCATTACCATTATTCTTTACCATTACTCTTTACCATTACCATTACTCTTTACTATTATTCTTTACCATTACAATTAATCTTTACCATTACACTTTAACATTTCCATTATCATTACACTTTACCACTACTCTTTAAAATTACTATTAGTCTTCGCTATTGCACTTTACCATTACCATTGCTTTTCACCATTAGTCTTCATCATTACCATTACTGTTCACTATTACCATTACTCTTTACCATCACTCTTTATCATTAACATTACGCTTTAGCATTACTCTTTAATATTACCATTACTCTTTACCATTACTCTTTACCATTACTCTTCACCATTACTATTACTCTTTACCATTATTCTTTAGCATTACAATTAATCTTTACCATTACACTTTAACATTTTCCATTATCATTACACTTTACCACTACTCTTTAAAATTACTATTAGTCTTTACCATTGCACTTTACCATAACCATTGCTTTTCACCTTTACTCTTCACCATTACCATTACTGTTCACCATTACCATTACTCTTTACCATCACTCTTTATCATTAACATTACTCTTTAGCATTAGTCTTTAATATCACCATTACTCTTTACCATTACTCTTTACCATTACTCTTCACCATTACTATTACTCTTTACCATTATTCTTTAGCATTACAATTAATCTTTACCATTACACTTTAACATTTCCATTATCATTACACTTTACCACTACTCTTTAAAATTACTATTAGTCTTTACCATTGCACTTTACCATAACCATTGCTTTTCACCTTTACTCTTCACCATTACCATTAC